GTTAGAACCAATATTACTCAATTTCATCCTATTTGTTTCTGTTGTTTATAGATAATCATAAAAATGACTTAAGCATGTTTTTCAAAGAAGTGTTGGTGCTGTTTGATGACTTATTAATTTGTATTATTTCAAAATGGCCGAATTTGGAGCGATATTTTCTGCAAGTATTTGTGTTACCAAATTTCCACAATATCTCAATGTGTTGCACTAAGTTTAATTACTTTGTCTTATTTCTTATTACTTACACATTTTTATTTATTTATTTTCTTGAAGCATTTTAATTTGTGTTAATCTCAGGGAACTTTGTCTTCTTTAAGTTAAGGAACTTTCAAATATTTTGTCGTTAGCTTGTTTTCGGCAATTGAGGATTAAAGTTAAGTAGAAGTTGTATCTTTGCTTAGCAAAATTAACTCTTTAATTTATTTTAAAACTCGCATTAAAAAAAAAAACGAAACTTTTTTCCAAACTCTATTTTAAGTTTTTTCATGTGTGATTTTTTTCCCCCGAATTGTTTTACTTTTTTTTTTTTTTTTTTTTTTTTTTTTTTTTTTTTTGCAAGAAAATTGAAAAAAAAAGAAGAAAAAAAAGGGATATTTCCGTATTTTGATGTGTGGCCCCAACTTTAATCGCCAAAGTGCCAAATAAATTTTAAACTTGCACATTTTTATATTTAATGTAGATGTTTGCCAGGGGTGGCTACGAGTTATTATACCTTTCGAGTTGGTCCCTATGGATTATGTTTTTGTTTTCTCGCAGGCCACTGCCCGGAAAGTGCCAAGACTAGTCGATTATTTTGACGCATATAACGTTACGGAAATATCCCCGAAAACTGAACTGTTGTAAATGTTGCTCATAACAATATTCCCCCTTGACAACAAAAATAAGCAAATCTCGTACTCCTTCTTCACTTTAGGTGATTATGCAATATTTGAACAGCCCCTAAACACAGGTCTGATTGATTTCAACATATATCCTTTAGTTATCTTCCACTTATATTTCTCTCATTTTTTTTTTCTTTTTTTTTACGCAGTTATTTATTTATTACTTTTTGCGTTAGAAAATTTGTGTTCTGTGCTTATTAAAGTTAGTTGTCATAAGCGTTATTTATCTAAACTGAACGAAATATCTTTAAACTTTTAACGCAATATCAATGGATTAATTTTTATTAATGATGAAATTGGTTTTTCCCTTTTTTTTCTCTTCAAAATTCTCAGAGAGCAGTTGGTAAGCTTTTGATCAGAACAGGAATCTCATTACGAGAGGGGGGAAGGGGAAATAGATAAATTGTTAAATACTGGAACTGGACTAGTCAAAAATTTTAGTTTTTCTTTGTACAGTTCTTCATAGAAAAAGGAGATAAATGAAAATTCAATAAATAAATTAATTTTATTGTACCTTTGATTATACCGAATTCCAATAATTAAATTGAAATCTGCTGCGAATTGTGCGCCTATTTATGTTAGAAACTTTTTAAATATCGATGTTAGAATAAAAATCGAATTAAGTTAGTAGTTTTTGTTTTAAAATATCAAAATATGTACTATGCGCTAAATGTAAAAAAAAAAAAAAAAAANAAAAAAAAAAAAAAAAAAAAAAAAAAAATCGGTATATCTTAATAATTTTAATCAAAATATGTACTACTTATCTCCAATTTCGTTAACTTGAGTCGTGATGGCTCTTGGGATAGAGCATTCACCTTCCAACGAGGTGAACCGGGTTCATATCCCACCAATAGCTGGTCGATACAAGTCCGCATCCACAGTGCTGACGTGAAATATCCTCAGTGGTAGACGGATCACGGGTTAGAGTCCCTTTGCCGTCAGGCTACCCTTTGGAGGTTCTCGTGGTCTTCCTCTCCATGTAACGCAAATGTGGGTTAGTTCCATCAAAAAGTCCTCAACAAAGGCAAAATTTCTCCCAATGCTTGATCCAGGAGTTCCCTTGTCTTCTGGATTAGGTTCAAAATTACAAGACTACTGAGTTGAACATTAGAAGTCGTAAACCCGAAAATTGGGTCGGCTGTTCAACGACAGTTATAAAAATTTTGTTAACTTATAAATCTTGGAACCATACTGGCTCAGAAGATAAAGCGTTCGCTTTCCAATGAGGTGAACCCGAAATCGGTTTACCAGTCATAGCTGGGATTCGAACTCAATCGCAACGATGAATGGTCGATACGAATTCCGCACCCGACTCGCACCGACCACAGTGCTGCCGCAAAATATCCCCAGTGGTAGACAGATCGTGGGTGAGAATTCTCTTATCATTAGGCCAACCGTGGGAGGTTTTACGGTTTCCCTCTCTATAACGCAATGTGGGTTATATCTATCAAAAAGTCCTTTATGAAGGACCAATTTCTCCCAATACTTGATCCTGTCTTCTGGATTGGGTTCAATATTACAAGGATACAAGGTTGATTATTGGTAGTCGTAAACTGAAAATTGGGTCGACTGTTCGACGATTGGTATAAAACTTTTAATTCCTGATGGCTCAAGGGATAGAGCGCTCGCCTCTCAATGAGGTGATCCGGGTTCGAATCCCAGTGGTTGATCGATACGAATTACGCCAACAACAATGCTGGCGTAAAATATTCTCAGCGGTAGACGGATCATTAGGTTAGAGTCCCCAGGCCGTCAGGTTATCCGTGAAAAGTTTTCGAGGTTTTTTTCTCCTTGTAAAGCAAATGCGGGATAGTTCTATCTAAAAGTCCTTCACGAAGGCAAATTTCTTGCACTACATTGTCCAGGATTTCCCTTGTCCTCTGAAGTAGGTTCGAAATTAGAATGCTACGGAGTGGAACATTGATAGTCGTAAATTCAGAATCTGGTCGATTGTTCAGTGCAGGTTATAAAATTAAATAGAACTTTTAATTCTAATGGACAATTCTTAAAGAAAGTACTAAAAAAAAAAGACAATTTTGTTACATTAAAGGGGCTTTACAGGGACCTCTCAGACCCTGATTCTACTAAAAAATCTGATTATTTTTTTAAAAAATTGTCCCGATTTTTTTTTTTTTTAATGTCCTGATTTTATTATTTTTTTTTATTTTGACCCACTACGAGTTCAGAATAATGTTAACGAGTTCTAATTATCAATACTATTAATATATGAATATTGAGTATTCACATCTTAATTCGAAATACTTTTCTGTTTAAAAAAATTTAAACTAAACAAGCCAAGTAGCGCTGAAATAAGGAAGTAAACTCGGGATTTATATAGTCTTTTCATTTTCGGCAGACTTTTTTGCAGATTCATTTCAATGCAAAATCATGTTAAATTTTTGACACCCATATTTGCTAGAAAATTTCCAGATAATTTATTAAAAAAAATCATTATCTGTGCGGGGTTTAATTTAAATTTCAAAATAAAATTTAAAGCTTAAAAAAAACACCTTAATTACAATGCTACATGTTCTGATAGAAATATATTACACATTACAACCTATAAATTTGAAAATTTTTCCGTGATTCCCTTCCTGTAAATGCAGTATTGTTAATTAAAAAATTAAATAATAAAATAAAAAGCTGTAATTGTGACAATCCTGCCCGTACCTACCTCTACCTACATTTGGAGCTCCTTGAACAACAACCACTGAGTCAAAAATTAATTGAACTTATGAAAATTTATTTACAATTATTAAAAAATTGACACATCGAATATTTTACTAACTTTTATAAACAATCATAACATGTCTCCAATAGTCCGCTAATTTCTCATTCAAAATATTATTTTTTAATTGCATGAAAATGATATTTATACTTAAATAAGAGATGGTTGCTCAGTTAAAATTTAAAAAAAAGAAGCAATTTCTTGCACATACGAAGTAATAAATGGAGTAGTATAAAACTTGTGCCGTAATTGTTACAGTGCGGCTCTGAGGAGAACTCTTCCAGAATGAAAGTCTGGGGCTGTCTGCTGCTATGGTAACAAGCGAGAGCACATTTCTAATGGGGGTGAAATGGAGGAAAGAAGGTGAGGATTGGTTTACTAGGCTATATGACACGAGGCAACCTAGTTGAAAGCAACTAGCGGTTTCGGTGAAGTTGAAACGTGCCATATGATGGTTGCCCGGTTGCTTTCAACTAGCAACTGAAGTTGAAACCTTTCAACTTTAGTGGAGCAACCAGATTAGTTGAAACGTGTCATATAGTAGTTTCCAAATACTTTCAACCTTAACTAGCAACCATTTAGTAAACAAAATACACGTGCTGATTCTGACGCATCCTGAATTTTTATCTTTTAAATTTGAACTTGGTTTAATCTTCTAACTATGACTAGTTTTAAATGGAATTCTAGTGATATATGTATTTTTTTTTTGAAATTTTTCAAACGTATCCTTGTCTTTGGGACATAAATAGCAAAGATTATGCGAATAAACTAATTCCCTATAAACTAATTTCCTCTGTGGAGATATTAAAAGTTACAAATTATTATTGAATTTTAAAAGTGAATGAAAAAAAAAACTAGCATATTACTAATTACAAATGTTTAAATATTTGAAAATTCAAAATTATATAGCTTGAACGCTAAGCTTTTTAAACTCATTTTGACAGATTTTGATAGATATTTCTTTGACAGATATTTCCGAGTACTAATGAAATTTTGAAAGCAAACGAAAGAAATTATTTTGCTTTTAAATCACCTTTTTTCTGTTCTAGTTCTTCTTTCAGAACCTCAGCTATCAGCTCAACGCCTACTTCAAGTACATCGTCAATAATCGCTTCCATGATAATTAAAAGAGCTTTTAGCAATAAACTTTATTGAAAAATATAAGTTCTGGTATTGGACTGTTATATACTATAATAGTCCAATACCAGTGCCGTTCTGGTATTGGACTATTCAGAGTTGGTTGAACAAGCGAAGGTTGTAACGTGTGATCACAAACGAGAAACCAAAAACCGGTTTCTCAACTTAGTTGCCTCCACTTGGTTGCCTAGTGTCATCAGCACTACGACGACGTACGCTAAGATTAAGACAAAACTAATTACCCCACACCCCTATTCGAAGTGACCTTTCCTCGTAACCATAGTACCCACCACGACGCGAGACAGGTGTCTAGAGAAGTTCTGAAAGCCGTACACACCCACGTGCTTCCTCTTGCCGCTTGTCATTGGTATACCGTGAAAGCTTTGTTTATGGATTGCCCTATGAATATCCCTGTTTTTAGTCACGTGATGAATTATTGGTTAAGAAGGGGAAGAACCTAATTTTATGTGGTGTTGATGATCTTAAAAATGTGTGTTGTAGAAAGGCTTGCTAATGCCATGGTGATCTAAAACTGCTTGTTTTCTGTCTGTTAAACTTTATTAAAACACGTGTTAATTGTATAAGTGTCTTCTCAGCTTCTTCATAGAATAATTATAGTTTAAGGTAAGAGAGATTTTGTCGATTGATAAATATTTTGCAGATAGTATTTGATAATGTATGGTTTTTATTTTTAACTATTTGATACTTATATACTTGTTACGGAACACTTTGTAATGAACATATCCTTTATACATATATTTACATTTAGCCCTTGTTGTAAGTTGCTTTTGAAATCAATGTCGTATACTAATTAGGGGATTAGATCATTTAAACCTTTAATTTTTGATTAAGTTAATATTACAGGAAGCGGTTGTAATCAATATCATTGCCTTTCGCAATTTAAAAAATAGAAACGCTGAGGAAAAAAAAATTTTTTTTTATATAACTTTACTTAATTATATATATTGATAATTGTGCAATATTTTGTAATTATTCTTAAAACTAATGATTTTTGTTAGTTATAATCATGGACTAATTAATTTTTTCAATTATAATTTGTCTTAATTATAAGCGTGATTATATAAGTAGTTTATATAACTTAATTTTACATTTTTAATACTGCAGTATTTTAAAAGTTTTTAAAATTAGTAATTTTTGTTACTTATAACCATACATTAATTTTGGATTTATAAATTTTTGTCTTCATTAATGCAATAAAAAAATACTAAATAGTTGCACTTTTGCAAATTCGTAATTATTTTTTGGCAGTATCTTATAAAAATTGTCTAGTGGTTATCGGCGAGTATTAACTTTTAGTTACTCTGTTTGGTTTCATATCGGAGAAAATAAAAATAATTAAATAATGTGATATATATTATATATTGCATTTTTCAAAAAAATGCCCCCCTCTCCTTTTTTTAAAATTTTTTTATTTTATTTACCTATCCTCTTGATCTAATAGTGGAAGTGTGAAACTTACATTTATTTTTAAAGCTCGTTTAACCAATAACTGTATAGAAAAAAATAATACTATTTATTAATTATTTTTATTATATTTTTTAACTGTACATAATTTTTTTTTTCACACGGTGAGAGAAAAAAGCAACTAAGAACTCAAATATCAAGTGAATGAAGCAGTTGTATGTATAAACGCTTATAACTGCATATTTAAGATTTTCTGAATTAATATTCTTTACTTGCGTGGACTACGAAAAACTGAAACAAATTAAACTGAATGATGAGGGAAAAAAAAATAAAAGGTCAATAGTGAATGGAATAGTTCATATCAACTAGAACACTGTTCTATATTTCAGTTTTAATTATACCTCTTTTTACGCAAGTTCAATGTTAATTTAGAGTTAGATTGGAATTTTAATAACGCTTCATAATTATTAAAAAAATCCCCAAACAATGAAATTTTATGTTATTTTTTTAAAATGACGTATAGTCGAACTTAATTTTATAACTTTACTTTTTTAAATAAATAAAATCAAATTATATATTATTTTATTACGCTCTAAATCACTCATAATTTTCGCTATTACAAAAAGCATACTTATTTTCATAATCAAATTTGGTAAATATTGAAAACAATTTTTAGATGGGTACTCCAGGGGTCTGTCTAGGTTTTTATGAGAGGCACCTATTTTGTGAAAATTCAGTCATAATTTGTGGAAATTAAAAATTATATATTAAAAAGTCAACACAGAAATACATGGTAAAGTAAGGAGATATTTTTAAAAATTGTTGTTTCAATACATCCAAACCTTCATACTTCCCCATACATCCAAAAATAATTTTGCTATTGTAAAATTTTGAGTTTAAAATTTTATCCAAATTTAAAAATTCTTAAAAATAAGTGTCCAATGTTAAATTTCAACTTGAATTTTTAAAAAAAACTTAACAGTGCTTGCACTACAAGTTATTTTCATAATGAGAACATTTCCCACTTGGTCGCGTCGAAAAAACTTTCACAGATAAAAAGATGTGTCATAAAAAATGAGGGTCTTTTAGAATAAATTTAGAACAATGTTTGGATGTTTAGAAAAATGTTCGAATTTCAACTTCCTGTAAAGTTTGCAGCGGGAGCGCATCGTTGTTTAATTGCAAGAAAAAAAAACTGCGGGGAAAAAAGCTTGTAATATGGCATTATCAACCGAGTGGGCTACTACAGCGGTTCTTAACCTATGGGTCGCGACCCAAAATTGGGTCTCGAAGCATATTTCTTGGGTCGCGCTGAGTCGAACCAAAAAAGTTAGTAATACACCAAATAATAAGTAATACCAACACCTCCTAGAAGAAGTCATTGTGGCTTACTCAGCCTAGGCTTAATGAGGTACCTGGGTAACTCTATACCCTTAATCCTCGTTCATAATAATTTAAAAAGGCACATCACTCAAAATTAGTTTAGCATATCAAGGTGCAAAATTAATATAAGAATAAAAGATACTTAGTAGTTATGTTTAAAATAAAAAAGTAAAAAAGAATTAACATAAGGGCCCTCTCTAAGAAGTAGAAAAATAGTTCCACAGAAGTGGCGCTGTTTGAGTCAAGGAATAAGTTAAAATGTCAATTATTTTCAAAAAACTATAAATATATTTTAATTTGGTCAATAAAAATTATTAAAAACACTTGATTATTAATTAAATTTTCCTTGGATCGAAAAGTACTTTTGTTTATCTTTATTATTAAAAAAATAAATAAAAAATTTGTAAGTTAAAAAAAATCATCATCGTAGGATTGAAGATTTTTTAAAAATACGATCTAAAATAAAGCAATGAAAAAATTTTGACTTTTTTTTGG